CCTATATATATGGGGGCACAGCGCTAGAACGGACAATCAACAGTTGTTAGCCGTGTGGGGGCGCCCCCTCCACAGTTTATGCCTCCGGTCATATTATCGTATTGCTTAGGCGAAGCCCAGCGCGGATCACTTCACCATCACAGTCACCATGCCGCCGTGCTGATGAAACTCTCCCTCGACACTTTGCTGGATCAAAAGTTCGAGGGACGTCATCGAGCTGAACGTGTGCAGAACTCGGAGGTGCCATACATTCGGTGTTTGATCAGCCGTAACGAGAAGAAGTTCGACTACATCAACTGCGTTGTCAAACGCTTCCGCTTTTGGTCTACGAGGGTACGTAGACACACTCTTCCCTCTAGTTGCTATGCATCTCCTAGATAGATCTTGCGTGAGCGTAAGAATTTTTTTTAAATTACATGCTACGTTCCCCAACAGCTCATCACCGGGAGTGAGTAATTTAGTTGTAGGCATACTGGAGGTAGATGGAGATGGATGTGATTCATCATGTAATCGAGTCAATTTGTGCGAGCTTGATCCCTGTTATTCACTATGTTCTTAGATTGATGTTGCTATGACTTTGTTTTGCTTAATGCTTGTCACTAGGGACCAAGTCTCATGATTTCAGATCTGAACATATTATATTTCCATGAATATTTGAGTTATTGATTCTATCTACAAGTTATATGCACTTATTGTTTTTCCAATTCATAGACCCCTAAGAACAATAATTGGAATACTCTCCAGGGATGACTGTAATTTGAGGAGTTCATGTATTCAGTATGTTCTAATGCTTTGTCCTGGTTCTTTATTAAAATGAACGCCTTAATTACCCTTAGTTTCCACTAGGACCCCGCTGCCACGGGTAGGTGATGAGACGACAACGAATCTCTCTCTTCGGAGCTAGGAACGGGCTCCAGATCAGGGATCCCGATGAAGAACAAGAGGTGGTGGCGGCTTTGTATCATAAAACATGATAATAATTTCCTGTGATTTTTTGGCATATACGGGCTGGTGGTGGAATCGTCGGAAGGCAGTGGCCAGGGGCCCCACATGGGCAGGTTGCACGTCCTAGGGGGTGGCCGCACCACCTGGCTACGTGGCGGCCGTGTGACCCCCTCTAGTATTTATTTTCTCAAATATTCTTTATTTGTTCTAAAATAAATCTCCAAAAATCCTCATTCAATTCCGAGCACTTTTATTTCTGCACAAAAAACAACACCATGGTAGTTCTGTTGAAAACAATATCAATCCGGGTTTAGTTTTATTCAAATGCAAATTACATCCCAAAACAATAGTAAAAGTGTTTGGAAAAGTAGATACGGTGGAGACATATCATAGCACCACTTATCGGAACCACGAGAAATTCTTTGTGTCAACCGTCGTTTGCAAAATCTCCCAAAATCTACTCCTTACTTTTTTGCACATGCATGTAGTTTACTCTCTGCTGCCCATACTCTAGATATGCATGTGTAGGGTGTTTTCCTGATTGGCTAACTTATGGTAAAATCTGCCCAAACTTCAAGATAATTAAAATTGCTAATTTGGCCTTGTTACCGTCTATTCGCCCCCATTTAGACCTACCCTTCGAATCTCACACCTCGTGATTAGTTACTGTCGAGGTAACCGACGTGGACCCAAGGAGATGATTCTGCACCGAAGATGGCGCATGGTTTGAATTGACAACTTGATCAGAAGGAGATCTAAGAAGTAAGAACTGAATGATTCGGATCATGGTAACCAAGTGATCTAAGCGCTTGAATATAAGTTTTGTGGGGATGTGTACGGAAGACGTGCGTCCATTCATCTTCCTTCTCTTGAAGATATTGATCAAGCTTGCAGCCGAAATGCAGGCCACCATTGTTCGAGAGTAAAAAATTGACACTAAGCTCGGGGAGAGAGATGTTACCTCCTTTGATAATACAGAAACCCACTTCTTTTGATGATACATAAAACTTTTTTTTACCGGTCAAACAGTTGGAAAATCTTCTTATGATGATACAAAAAACTTGATGGACTAGTTTTGCTGTAATTTTACCTTGAACAGGGATACATGGCCACCAAGACAGGACAGGAGAATTGTGCCAACCAATTCCGCGGTGAGCCTGATCTTGGACCTGGTGAATTCGGTAATGAGGAGAAATTCCCGGAGATCTTTCCCTTCTTCAAAATCGATCGGCACTCCCCGTTTGCGCTAGACTTCTTCCGCAAAATCTTGCCCTTTGTCAATGTTGAGATCGGCGAGAGACATGGTTGATGCCCGCCGTGACCGGAGCAGAGCACGACGCGGGGAGGGAGGGCTAGGATTGTTGTCGCTCTAGCCTCGGCGGCCGGCGACGGGCACCAGTTGACGGGGCTGCGCGAGTGCATCCGTTTTGCTTGCCATGATGGTGATTTAACCCAGTTGATTGGTCTAATTTATTTTTGAGTGAAGTGCATCAAAGGTCCTCAAACTATTTAAAAGGTGTTACGTAGGTCCTCGAACTATGAAAAGGGTCATTCAGGTCCTCAAAGTGCAATATGCGTGTCATCCAAGTCCTCGAACTATTTTAGAGGTGTCATGTAGGTCCTTAAACTATTTCAAATGTGTCACATACGTACACACTTATTGCACTTCAAGAATTTTTGAGGACCTAGATGACACTTTCTATAGTTCGAAGACCTATGTGACACCTTCAAAATAGTTCGAGGACCTAGGGTGCACTTTACTCTTTATTGTTCAACGTTGACCTTATTCATTGGAACTGAGGGAGAGTAGGACTTAAACCCTTGGGCGTTGGTTCCACGATAAAGAACTTAACCATCTCAGAGTTCGCACGACAACTCATACCTCGAAAGACCTCAGTTCTTCTCGCGAGTTCAACAAGTTGACTGGCCAGTGGACGCTGGTGGCACCACACGAGCAAAATTTGAAACAAGCACCCCTTTTTTCCCGATCTTCTCGCCGCAAAAAATTTCCGTTCTGAACACTAGGGCATTGATTGCACATGGAGGCCCCGGCACGAGCGACGCAGCCGCAGGGCGCAGCAGAGCCCCCAACGGGGGGTCCAAAATGGAACGGGGGCCGCAACAACATAATGGAGCGTTCCATTCATCACAAGGGAAAGAAGAGAAGAGAAGAGAAGAGAAGAGAGACCACTCAACAGCCGCACATTCTCGGCATAGTGGCGCGCGCAGTAGACACACCAAGTGCGATATAAAGACACCCCGTCGAGGCGTCAAACCTTCCAGCCTTTGCCAGTGCAGTGTGCTCGCGAGCGTAAAGGCGGCCTAGGCTGAATGCATGCACGGCCTCCGTGCCCAGGCCGCACCCAAAACCTCTCCGGCCCGTATCCATCCGAACTGCGCTCCAAAGGCAGCGACTCCACGAACACGTCAATCAATGAGGCCGGCGCCGAGCCGACGCAGATGGACGGACACATGCATGCATGCACGGACGCACGCGCGCTCGTGGTCCAGCCGGCCAGCCTCTGGCCGAGTGGGTGTGTGTGTGTGCGCGCGCGGTTGTGTCATCTCGGCTTGCCCACATGGCCTGCCTGCTTGCCTGGCCACGCCACGCGCGCGCCCACGGGCTGGCATGCCGCGGCGAGCCTTTGGCCTCCTCCCCTCTCCTTTTCCCACCTGCGCGCGCGCGCGCGCAAAAGCGACAAGGCCGCGCGTGTGTGGGTGTGCGGTGAGCGCAGTGCGTGACATGGAGGCGTCACGTCGTGGATCTCGGAAAGCAAAGCAGGGGGGGCACTGCGACGGCGACGGCGACGGCTGCTTCCTTCCTTCCTTCCCTGGTCAAAATGGCCATCAGCAGCTCCAAACTGGGCCAACACCGCCCACTCTACGGCTCAGCTACGCTACGCCGCCTGCCAGCGCCAGCCGCAGCGAGACAGCAACGCCTCGGCGCTCTGCGGTTTCTACTGTGTGAATTGGGACAGATAAAGCAAAAGCCTGCACGATGTAAAACCCCTCTGTGCTCAATCATGTGGACGCAAACCCCTCCTCTCTGATCAATCATACACATGCATGACCCTATCCCTAAGCTATGGCTATGGCCTAGTGTGCGACGCAGATGGCTTTATTTGTCCTTGCTGACTGGAGTCGGAGGGCAGGACCGAGGACCCTCTCTCATGTGAAGTGCCACAATCTACGTCAATTAAGCATTGATAATACTCCTATAGTATAATGTACTGGAACAATTGGTGCCCAATACACTGAATAAGTCAGAAACTACAGCTGCGAGTGGAGCATGATACATGCAGTAGATGAGATGAGATGGGGTGAGCAGAAATTCCGGCGCAACAAGACACGGAACCAGATCTTTCAACTGTTCCAATTTCAACACCAGTGACGCTTCCTCAAGCTATCCAGTAGTGGTACAAGCTATAGGCAGAGTGTACACTTTCCCAAATTTGACTGGAGAATCAAACGACCCAAGATGCAGGAAGAACTCAAAACTTTTCCCTAGCTATGGCAATGTGCACTCGAGCTCTGAACTGTGAAGCAGCAGTACTGTGTACAATTCTACCCAATTTATATCACCAATTACACCGAAACCCAGGAGAAGAAAGAAAAGGAAGAACTACAGCACTGACAGCCTCCCACATTGCCAAAAATCTAAAATCTAAAATTGCAGGCCTTTGCTGAATTCTCAGCTACTGATAGCAAAACTGGCTGTACTTACCACAACAGCCCTTGAGTGCTTATTGAGCTGACCAAATTCACACCAATTTGCATTTACATCCGGCCACCGACTCCGGCGGTGCTTATGCTGCTGCATTGCTGCTCGATCCAAGCTTCCTGTCGATGGGCAGGGCGATGCATCCATCCACTCCCATGTCTTCAAATGACACCGCAAATTCGGCCAATTGCTGAGTTTATGTACACACAGGTCTTCATCCAGCACCAATTTGCTTCTCTCGTCCATTCCCCGGTCCAGATTACGCGAGGATGACCAATGGGAACTGCATCATCGACTCAACTCACAACCAGAAGGACTATGTTCCGGTGTCTTCTCACTGAATTGTCTTGGTGAGCTTGCATTTCGCGAGGAAGACGGTGGACGTGCAATGCACGGTGCAAAGCTTGAGCAGCTCCGAGGCTTGCTGCTTCAGCTCCGGCCCGCACCCGCTTTGGATCACCAGCAGAAGCTTGGCGGCCAGCCCGACGTCCAGGGCGGCGGGCGCGGACTCCTCGGGCACCATCCTGCACACCACCCACAGCATCGACAGGGCGCGCTGCGTGCAGGCCTCGGACACCCTCATCAGCAATCGGACGGCGTTGGGTATCGTCCTCGGGCAGTCCTTGAGAGCCGTCCTGCCTTCGGGGACCGAGGCGAGCGCGTCCAGGATGTCCAGGGCTGGCTCCACGCACTCCGTCGCCAGCTCCGGCAGCAGCTCCACCAGCTGCTGCACCGCACCAATGCTGACAATCATGCTCCTGGCCGGCCTGTGCACGGCGCAGATGGAATTGAGCAGCTCTAGCCCGGCGGCCACGCCGTCCTGGTGCCGCTTGTCCCGGACGAGGCGCATGGAGCCGGCCAAGAGGCTCAGGCTCGCCACCGTCTCCGGCCGGAAGCCTTTCTCCTCCATGAGGATGCGGATGAGGCGGACGCAGTTGATCTTGGTGTCGACGGCGCCCTCGTTGAGCATGTCCACCACGAGGGACACCTTTGCCGGCTGCATAAGCGCCGCCTTCGCGTCGGCGTCGAGCGGCACACCGCTGACAAGAATGGCCACCGCCTCGGACCCCACGGAATGAGACGTGAAGGGGCCAAGAAGCGAGGTCAGCAACGACACGCCGCAGGCCTCCGCTATGGCCTTGGTCACGGACTGGTGGGCGCAGGCGAGCGAGCGCAACTCCCGGAGCGCGGCGACGCGGGCCTGGCCCTTGAGGGGCTGCCTCCTCGGGACGGCCGTGCCGCGGAGGCCGTGGACAAGGTCCGCGGCGCGGCCGTGGTAGTCGGCCGAGCGCTTCTTGAAGCGGGTGTACCGGCGGGAGAACCAGGCGGCGATGAGCTGGCGGAGCGTGGCGTTGGGGGTGAGCGCGTCGTCCCAGAGCTCCTGCATCGTGGTCGGGCAGGTCCGGTGGCCCAGCGCCAGCCAGCGGGAGATGTTGGCGCGCTCGTACGTCTGGCCGGTGCAGAGCGTGACCGGATCCACCATGGGCTCCAGGGAGATCGGGCAGATGAAGACCGCCGGCACGACCTCGTCCCCGCCGCCATCCCCAGCGGCATCCAGCTCGTCCATCATCTTCCTCAGCTCCACCGGCTGCTTCCCCCCGTCGCCCAGCGCCCCGTCCCCGGGCTCCGGGCCGCACCCCAGGATGCCGTCCTTGAGCGCGGCGTCGATGTCGAGCACCTGCCCGCCGCAGGGCAGCTCCTGGTACTGCGGCATTGCTGCGGCGGCGACCGTCTGTCTGCGCGAAGCAACCGCGCGCCCTTCCACCGCTCACTGGAGCGAGCACGGACGGCGAGGCCCTTTTAGCAGAGGCGCGCGGGCGACGGAATGATGCGGCGAATCATGGGGCGACTTATCGCCATCATCATCGCCCTCCTCCTAGCTTGCTTTCCCTCTTTCTTGACCCGCTGCTTTTCTTGGGTTTTCGGGCTCCCGCGGCTGCCCACCGGTCAAAAGGGGAGGCGAGGAGCTTGAGCTGAAAGCTTCTGGGTTTTGGGCTGGAGGCGGATTGCAGGGCGTGTGAGGAGATCTGATGAGCGAGGGGGAGGAGAGGAGGGGGGAGGGGGAGTGGGAATGCGACTGAGATCCAGCTGAGCTAGAGTGGGTGGAGAAGAAGAAGGGAGAGTGAGAGTGAGAGAGCGAGCAGGAATATCCTGCTGAAATTATTATCCGGACTTGCAATTTTACTTGGGTGGGTGTGGGTGCGAGTGAGAGGGGATTGGACGAGGGGAGGTGGGGCAGGACTTGGTTGGGACCAGACACATTAGCACACTCACTGACACCCCGCCTGCGTGGTGGGCCGCCCCCCTGCGCGCCCTCTTGTATTCTTCCCCATTTTTCATTTATTTTAGCGCTGGTACTACTAGCATTTCTTTTCTCTCGCTCAAATTTTCCTTTTTGTTCGGTGCCGCCGCTGAGAAGCGTACTGGGCCCATGCCAAAAGCACCAAGCAGGAAGGCATGGGGAAGAATCTTGCAGGAAATGGCGCCATATGTTTGTTTTGTTTCAGTAGTGCTCTCCTTCTAGGTCTGATGTGATTTTTACCATTGCTCCTAGGAATGAAATGCCCATGCTGTTTTGTTTCCCCTTTTCAACATTTGGTCCATTTTGAACTACGAAAACAAAATTTTCTCTCCTTCTGGGGAAGGGGAGCGATCAGCAGCGGAACTCGAGGCTGCTGACCGGTGACCGGGACGTGCGTGCGTGACCGGTGACCGGGACGGGTTCGAGACGGGCGTGCGTGCGTGCGTACTGTGTACTACTACGACCACTCCTAAATCTAAATCTAGGGCACGCGGACCGCACGTGCGGTGGGATCAGGATCGACAAAGAGGGCGGGGCTTTGTTTTTCTCCTCTTTTTTCCCAGTTTTTGAATGGGTTCAAGGACAACAAGGACGCAGCAGGCCCGTTGCCTCATCTCCCTCCTCGTGACCCGCGCGCGATCACGTTGCGTTTACGCTTGCATCGGACCTGCCGCTCCCTCTCTTTGACCGCTTTGCTCGCACACTCGATGCTCTCTGACCTGGCCGGATTAGGAGCGCTCGAGTTTCTTTGTGTAGATAACTTGTGGGCAAGGAGATGCAAGAAATGGCACGACGTTTCGACATGGAAAATTTGCCACAAACAAGCTTGCTTTAACTTGAACAAAGTCGGTGCGTGTGGTAGGAGTATCATCAACTTATTCAAAGCTCCATCCAATCCAAAGGGAAAAAGATGGGAAACATCGCACGTGCAGCGATGCCAGGTTGGAGGCCTCTTTTTGCGTACGTCTTAATTAAGTGGATGCATCCGGTGCGACCGTGACCAGGACCAACGACCACGGGGCCGGGGCCGGAGCCCGGAGGGCCGAGCAAAGGAAACGAAGGGGGCCAAAGAAAACGTAATGTAAAGGCAAAAGCGAGCAGCAGCAGCAAGCACTGGTAGCACAGGAAAGAAAGCCGAAACTAGTAGGCACGTCCAAAGCTCAGGGCTTTAGAAAACGCGCTCCTTGACCGGCCTGCGCGCCGCACGCTACAAGCGCTCGCACTGTGCGCGAATTAAGCGCCGCACGCTCACGGTACCTTGCCAACCATACGCACGTACTGGTACGTGGGAGTTCGTACGCGCAGGTGATGGTGCGGGTCAAAGGGGCGGACAGTAAACGCGACGTGAACGTGACACCACCTAGCTAGCGGCGGACGGAGACGCGTCCGTCCGTCCGGCCGTCCGGCGATCCGTCACTGTTGCTGCACAGGGTGCCGGCCGGGCGGCCGCTGTTGCGCCGCACGAGCCCGGTGGAGTACGCGGCACGGCGTGCGTGGGCGAGGAGGCACGCAACGCAGCAACGCGGAGGCGGAAACCTCTCTCCATCCGCACGTACGACGGGTGGACCGACGGACGGACGGCGGGCACAGCGATGGATGGGTGGGTGCCCCTCCGGCACGGCCGCGCGCGGAGGGGAGGGAGGGAGGGAGGGGGGCACGGCGCACGCGCGACACCGCGACACGGTGCGTGTGACCTGAATCATGGCTGACCGGCCCGCTCCGACCCGACGTGCGAGCACAGGAGCGGGCCGTTCGGTGTCGCGCGTTGCCCCCGGCCGAGCGAGGCAAAGCGCCGGCCCAACCAACCGTCGTCCACTCGTCGCCTTCAGTACAGCCGGCGCGGCGCGGTGCGTGCGCGCGTGCGTTCAAGGGCATGGGCGCCACGCACGTTCACAGATCAGCGGCCCGTTCGACGGGTAGGTAGTACTCGTACGCAATGCCACTGTTTGATCGAGGTTCGGTCTTGCGCGCGTCGCTGGATCCGGCGACAGGCGAGCGTTGCAGGCGCTGGCAGCTGCCGCCTGGGCCCGGGCGGATCGATCGAGCTTACTCTCAATTCTCAAGTGGAGTGGTTTGAACCTGGATTGGCCACGGCACGAATATGCTCCGTTTTCAAACCAGCTCGCTTCTTCTCGGTCCTCGCTCGCCCTCGGCACCCGCCCGTCCGTCAGCACGCACCTGAGACCGGCCCGTACACGGTCAGTGAGACGGCGCCACAGTATTAAAAAACGCCAAAGCCTGCGGCTGACCTGCCACGCTGCTCCCCTCAACCACAAAGCGCGCTGATTAAACAACGCCGAGCGAGGAGGAGGAGGAGGAGGAGGCAGCGTCGCTTTCCCCCGATGCACCGGCCTCCGCGCCGAGCAGCGAAGCGACCCAATAACTTGACTGCCGCAATGATCATCACGATGCCGACGGCCACAGGGAGGGGCGCAGCGAGATGTCGCTCAACCCAATCCCGGCTCCAGACCGCTTTGTTTAATAATCGGCTCTGAGCTTATCCTGTTGACTGGCTACTTTGGCTAGGGCTAGGCTAATCCGGATCGACAGGGAGGGCAGGGCGTGTGGGATCGATCTCATCTGGCTCACGGGGCGCACCCACCGCGTCTCTCGTTGCGTCGATGGCGTGCGCGGGGTCGCCGTGTGCAGCAGTGTGCCCCGGGTCTGACCGGTCAATGTGGTCCAGGGGCCAGCGGCACGGCATGGCGATGTGCCAACCCGAAGGCCGAAGCCAGTCCATGGGCCACGGGAGGAGGAGCAATCGAGGAGGGCATTTCTTGATGCTGCCAACCACCTTTGGCCCCTGCCTCTCTCTCGCTTTGACCGCCAGCGCAGGCGCGGCACCGCACCGCACCGCACCACACATCATTTCGCTTTCTCGAGGACCAGTGCTGGTCTGCTTTGGCTCCAGCTCTCTAGGAGTAGTAGTGGTAGTACTCCTTCTGTTCGCGTATGGTCGAAAGCTCTTTACAAATTTATTTAAACTTGGTTTTGAATACAAACCTAAGGCCAACTCCGTTGTGCGATCTTGTCTGGGTGCGTTCGTTTGGGGTAAAATGAACGAATAGCGTGGCCCAACGCGCGGCCTCAAACGAACAAATGTCCGAATTCCGTCCATTTTTTACTCATCCTCGGTCCAAACTTGCGCTTGGTTTGGGGTGAAACGGACGCGCGCAGACGGCCTCGACGCACGCCCTTGTTCCCCCGTGACCTGCCTGTCGGGGACACTATCACTCCCTCCGCTCCCAACCCTTTCACCCTCTCTCCCCGCCCCGCCCCGCCGCCGGCGCCGCCGCTATTCTCCGGCCGCGTCCTCACCGCACAGCCCCCCGGCCGTCCATACCAAATCACGTCTCGACATGGCCGTCACCACGCCCGCGCTTTTGCCGTAGTTTTGGCCGTCGATCGGAGGAGGTTTGGCCGTCGCCGTCTTTGCCGGTGGCAGAGGGGACACGACCGCCGGCGACGTACCACGGCGGCCGCGGCAGCTTCCGACGAGAGCTCCAGAGCGGCCAGTAGCCGGTTGGCAACCACCCCTGCTGCGTCGAGGTGATCATCGCGGCCTCTTCGCCACCACGATCGCAAGGTGTTCGACATTTTGCCCACAAAGGTATGGACAGTGGAGACGAGTTTTTCTTTCATCATTTCCTTTGTTCATCGGACGATTCGTCGTCCGATGATGAAGATCTTGTGGTGGCAGCACTGGTCGTTCACGACCACATTCAACGGCAGCTTCCTCGGTACAGGGGATCAGTCCCTGGCCGTGCTCCCAACCTGAACTGCAACAGGGAGAGAGGCCACGTCCTGCTCTATACCGATTACTTTTCCAACACCCCGCTTTTCAAGCTGAATAAATACCGTCGCCATTTTCGAATGGCAAGGCATGTGTTCAATCGTATCCGGGAGGGAGTGGTTGCTCATGACCCATATTTCGAGTGCAAGACGGATGCCCTTGGCAAGTTTGGATTCTCCTCTTACCAGAAATGCACCGCGGCCATCCGCATACTTGCATATGGAATTCCAGGCGATTTGGTGGATGAGTATGTGCGTATGAGTGAGACAACATGTCTGATGTCAATGTACAAGTTCTGTCAGGCTGTGATCGAGGTGTTTGACCCAGAGTACTTGAGGCAGCCAACTGCCGCTGATACAAAGAGATTGTTGGCGATCAACGCAGCTAGAGGCTTTCCAGGCATGCTTGGCAGCATAGATTGTATGCACTGGGAGTGGAAAAATTGTCCATTTGCATGACAGGGCCAGTACAGGGGGCATGTCAAGGCGTGCACTGTCATATTAGAAGCGGTGGCTTCGCAGGATCTTTGAATATGACATTCTTTCATTGGCATGGCAGATTCTCACAATGATATCAACGTGCTGCAGCGTTCTCCAGTCTTCTCAAGGCTTGCAGAAGG